TGAAAACAACGAAGATTTTCGATAGTGCCTGCCACTTCCCTGCCCAGCCAGCAGCCGGAAACATGGACAGATTCAGTCCAGATGTGAGCAACTTATAAACACGCATGCAAGAATGGATGTATGCAAACATGTCTGCACATGTAATTATGTACATCTGCACAAATGCAAGGCACATATGCCTTTGTGCATGCACACACACGCACACACTAAACATGATTAAAAATGATATGATAACACCTCTATAAATAGTATCACACAGTTGCACACTGATCCTGGATTAGTAGTATTTCAGCCATCCCTGAGGCATCTGGTTTCATCTTGCTGATCTGATAACAGTTAGTAAATGCAAGTAGGCAAGCAGAATATAACTGAATATTTTTGAATAGATTAAACAAACAAGATATAATGTGTTAATTACTCAATTTCAGAGGTGCTGGAAGACAGACTTTGCTACCAGGCTAGCTGCTTCCCATTTCATCTCCTGATTACAGCTTCATATTTACCATACAGACATGAGTGGCATTGATACTCTTCTCTCTCCAGATGTTTCAAAAGTGTCAATCCACTCCTTTAAAAGAACCTCCTCCCCAACCAATGCATCAAGTTTCAACTATTGCTGCTGACACATCAGTAAGATATTACCCTGCCTGCTGCCTGACTAAGTAACATGTGAAGAGAGCACCAGAAAGTGCTCAGTAAATGGGATAATTTACAAATTTGGTGTCACGTCATGCCCTCCAAGCTGTTCAGTCTAGTTTATGATCACCGGGTGAGCTTGGATGAATGTATCTTTGGAGCTGATTCAGAACCCCCCCCTCCATGCACATGGAGCCTGGGTTGAATCAGCCAGTCTATGTTTGTGTGTTTGTGTATGTGTGTGTCAGTCATCTCACAGTGGAACAGCGATTAAAGTCGGTGAATGAATATGCTAGGTCCATATTTCACTTTTTTTATTTGGAGCCCTCACAGTGGCCATGTTGTTTTTGTGAACAGTCAGAAACAATGAATTATTTCAGATCTGAAGCTGGCAGAGCGTATGGCTATATGGAGGAGAAGCTCCGAGTGGGTGACGGCCAGATGCTCATCTACCATGGGGGTCTGGTATAAAAGGAGAGAAGGGAGGACAAAAAAAGACGAAGGGAAATAATAAAAACAGAACTGGAAAAAAGGAAAAACTCGAAGAAGAGAAAAAGAGATGAGAGAGGAGGTGTGGGAGATGAGGCAGCACATGAAGGAGAGGAGGAGAACCGGTGACATGGGGAGCCAGGCTGTCGTGGAGCGCTGCCAGCCGTCTGTGTGGTCTATGCCTTCCAGCCTGGAGGAAGCGCGCCAGGCAGGAGAAGGGCACACACATACACACATATGTACACACACAACAATTCCCAAAGGCAATACATTTATTAAATGTAAAAATACTTTATATAAACACTTGTACAGTATTAAAGAGCATGCGTGCGCACAGTTTGGCTTGTGTGCGGTTTTTAGACAGGCTCCCTCTACACCTCCTCACTCACATTAAAATGTTTTGATTCAGAACAGGGGAAAACAAAAATCCCTTGGAGATGTTTTTGTTCTAGCTTGGGGCAAACCGACTGAATCCTCATTTTTCTGCCTCCCTTTCTCGCTCTTTATTCTTCTGTCTTCCCCTCTGTCGCTCCCTCCCACTGAATGATTTTGTGTTTTGCATTGTAGAGGCCTTGGCACCTCTTCAAGGAACTTCATAAGACGTTCAACTGACTGACTGCCTCTGGAAAAGCCTGAAGTCTTTTTTTCTCTTTTTTCCCCTCCCTCTATCCCTTTCTCCCTCACTCTCTCCCTCTTTTCATTCTTTTTTCTCCTCGTGTTTGGGTGAGTTTTATTTGTCCGGTTCCCATTGTTAAAAACTGCTTTGAGTAATGCAGCAGCAGATAGCTCAGGGTGTGTTGTCTGTGTGCATGTCTGACGAAGAATGGAGTGTTGAGTCTTCAAGTAATCCTCTTTAATTATCTGGATGCTGTACAAAAGTATAGTCTATTTTTTCGACAGGTTGCTTGAGGCAGTCACTGAAAGGCATGATAATCCAGACACATAAAGGGCCTCATATTACTGTAGATAATTCAATGAAATGACAGCTGGCTGACATCATCTAAATACTATAGTACAGTGTAATTAGCAGTTGTGAGAATCTTAGCATTTAGCATTGAGCATAAACATCTTTTGTAAAAACAAAGACACGAAACAAAGCCTACACCATACAGCAGGTAATTGTACTCTGCACATGCTTGTATTGGCATGTTTGTGTGATGACACTGTTTAGTTTAGAGGCCTTTTGCTGTCTTCATGACAGACGTGTTGACGGAGGCTTCCCCCTTAGTCATATTGTTTCTATAGCAATGCTGAAGATGGCAGCCTTTTTATAAGGTTTTAATAGGATGTAGCCTAGCAACCACTTTAATAAGGTTGTGTATATGTGTGGGTGTTGTCAGAGTGCATGTGAGCGGGTGTTATAGTAGACCATGCAACATCCGCTATTGCCCAGCTCACTTGTGGTGTGCCACAAGTTTACATTTTAGGTCCACTACTGTTTGTTGTTTACATGTTTCTCTTAGGTGACATTTTTCATATAGCTATCACCCAGCTATATTATTAGTAATACTTATTAGCAATGTCTTATTAACTGTCATTAACTGCCTTGATAAGATTAAGTACTGGATATCCAGCGCTTTCCTGCAGCTAAAACAAAAGATCATCTTTTTTTAGTTCTTACATATTCACTCAGCTCATCTTGGCAGTCCCCAGTACATTTAAAACCTGTGACTAGAAATCTGAGATTCCTCTGTTGTGATGCTAAGGTCAAGGTGATTCTAAAGTACTACTTTCATCATTTAAAATCACATCCAATATCAGATCTTTGCTATCCTCTGCTGACCTGGAGAAATTCCACATTCCTCTTATTTCATTCTCTCGGTTACAGTCAGTCCAAAATGTGGCATCAATAATTGTAAAAAATAATCAGGCTTATGGGATCACATTATCTATATTTTAGCCCCCGTTCACTGTAAGCTATTTCAGAGTTGATTTCAAAAGGATAAATTTGGTTTTGCCCCGAAATACACTGCAGCCTTGGTCCTCTGGCATGGGACATCTGGGTTAGTAACCAGAGGCAACAGCGCCTTTGCTGTGAGGGTTCCCTGGTTTGTTATGTCAACTCTCTTTGTATGTGTTTTTATGTATGCTCGACATTTCCAGCCTGCTATTAGCCACTGTGTCTTCTAGTAGCATGTTGACAGGCATATGTGCATCATTAAGTACTTGTGAGTGTTCATGAGTGTCAATTGCAGGAAGAGTCTGGCTTGGCAGACAGGTCTCCTGAACCACTTATATTATGTGCAGGCCTGTAAGTAACGGGGGCCTCTTCACCAGACTTGTTAACACCCTGACCAAAACCGAACCAAAACACGACCCCATCCCCAAGCCCAGAACCCCCTTGAGAGCAGAAACAGGCTTGACCACTAACCTCCACCACTGACACACCACACACACACACACACACACACACACACACACGCCACACATGCTCAGTTATGCACAATAACCACTACAATATGCCACAGCTAGTATGTGTGATGCCACAATGGTTTTTGTCATCTTTCATGTTTGTTTGACATCAGGTAAGTATAATGAGAGCAGTGGGTTTGGACAGAAAGCCTTGTATATTCTGTCATTACTGTTCAGCTATTATCATTCAGGAAGTTCGTCTCAGTTGGCTGCAGCCACCGTCAGGTCGCAGAACCACCTATAAAAGCATATTGGTTTAAGCTGCCACTCCCTAACTATTAGCTCAAAATGACATTTAATGAGGCCTATTAGCTCTATTCCAAATCAGCACTAATGACACCAGTAACACACTTTTTCTGCTACGGGTGCACACATGCAAACGCAGGCATGACAGACATACATGCATTTGCAATCATATGAGAATACAGACAGGCACATGCCTATATGCATGAACACACACAGACAAGTACATGTACAAACACATTTGGTGAGTTGTCGGTGCAGTGGCAGACCACAGGGTAACCAAGAGCTGTCAAGTGATTAAACACAATGCTAGCCACAGAAACCAAATTAGTGTCCCACTTATAACACGGCACGAGGAACCCGACTAACCGCTTACTATACCCACGTGCACACATACTGTACACACACACACACACTAGAAACCTTTGAGGAAACTCATTCCACAGATCTTTGAACTAGGCCTCACTGATATTCCTCACTCTGACCATGCAATTAATTAGCTAAAGCTAAACACCACAGTTCAGAGATACGAGCCCCCCTTCATTCACGGGTGGTCCTACTTTATCACTGCAATGATATTAGACGAGGAACTGCTGGGGAAATGACATCCCTCATATGGCTACCATAAGGATTACTGTATCAAACACACACACACACACACACAATGTGCTTCCTGAATGAGACGCCCACAACCAGGCAAGCCATTAACTGGAAGAAAACAACTGCAACAACCTCTGGGGAAAGTATTTTAAAAAATCAATAAAAGCATAGAGAGTGGCTTTTAATTTTAGCTTTTTCAACTCAGTCTCCAGCCCATGTTGAAATCCAATGTTATTGTCACAAACAGCACTGTCACTGCCAGAGGAGGACCACAGTGCCAGTGCATGTCAACTTTAAGACAGGCTTCTGTTCTTTTTTTGTCTCTCCATTCTAAAACCCGGAGGAGGGGAGGTGTGGTTGAGAGGCCACATGTGTGTTTTGCCACCCTTCGACCTCAGCTTAACGACCCTTGAGACGGAGACATGTGCTGCAGGTCCTGGGTAAATTACACTGCCGCTGCAGTTCTGACCACTTAACAACAAAGTAGAGAAGTTCAGGGATTACATATGATGACAAACTCTTTATTGCTTAAACCACTGTCCTGAGACTGAAGTTAGAACACGCAAATTTTAAAGCTTTTTCGTAAACCTCAAACTGAGCAAAGAGAAGGGAAGAACAAAGTCTCTTCCTCTCACCTAACATATACAGAGGCAATGGTCTTTGTCTAGTTTAATGCCCTAATCTCACTTTATATGCAATATGTCCACACTTCCACTGAAGCTGTTTGGACAAGAAACTGAAACTTTGTTGAGACCAAACAGGGCTTTTCCAAACAATATCTGCTCCCTTTCTCATGTGCTCGTCACCAAGTAACAGGACTTGTTTGAAAGTTGTCTGACGGGGGGACAGCAGATGCACAGGAAATGCTTTTGATCAAACAAGATGCCTCGAGAGCAAGGAGGGATGGAGGGGAAAAAGTGGGTGTGACTGTTAAGTACGTGTGCATTTGAAGACAAGCATGTGCCTTTGTCTCATGATGCGTGTTGATGAGCGCTGAATGTCGAGTGTGTGAGGTGTTTTTTGGCACCATGAGCAGGTTTCCTACACTGCAGACTGAAGGTGCTACTAATCCTATGTCCTGGCTCCTCTGTGTCTCTGTGCGTCCTGGTGCCATATGTGATGGGGAAGGTGGGTGGGCGGGTTGTTGTGATGTGATATTGTTCATTGAAACGCCATGAGATGAGAGTATGTTTTTTCTTTTTTAATGAACACAGAGGAGGTTTGGGGAAACAGCTGCATGCCAGACCAGTTGGAACTGATGGCTACAGTAAAGTTTTTTTCCTCCTCAGTTGTTTTTATATGGCCCATTAAAATGAGCTGATGCTAGCATTCTGCTACCCAGTGTACCCTCTCAGGAATATTCTGCCTCACCCTTTATTTCTCTTCTTTCTCCAAAACCATCACATGGATGACTGGGTTGCTTTTTGAGAGGTCAACTAAGTTAAAAGTTTTTTGGCTGCTAATTAACTCAATCGAAACATTTTCCTTCATTCAGTGGCATACCCCTATAAAGGGAAATTAAATAAAAATGCTGTATAGATATCCCCATACTGTATGTGCATGCATTTGTACTCACTCCTGGGTTCGCGTGGTCCATCTACGGTGACCTTTATGGCTCGGTGGTAAGTGGCCACTTGTGGGGGATTGGTGAATACTGTGATTGTCAGCGTGAAGCTCTTGCCTGTGGTGACATCAAACAACATCAAATGACATACCATCTGTGGGGACAATGACCCGCATTCATTGCTAAACCATCCCCAAATCACAAGTGTGGTTGTGATCACATAATACAAACTGGGGAAAATCAACTCCAAAAGGATTTATGACGGACAACACTGTTTGAGAGGGTCTATTTAGGTTGTCTGGCAGAGCCTAAATGGAAGATTGACTGGAAGAGCCAGCATGTTGTTATCCAGAATTTCTCCCTGTCTAACGCAGTGTGAGTGGGCGAGAGGCATTTTAATAGTCACTTCCTTTCTCAATAATCCCAAGCAGTTGCTGCCTTGGGGTTGAGTGTGTGTCTTTGCAAGTGTGTATGTTACCATGTGCATGAACGAGGAATGCTATGAATCAGGGTGCAAAAGCCAAGTCAGCAGCAACACTAACGTCTGAGGTATGCAGACGCATCCCGTAACCGTGGCTACATGCAGGGAACAGGAAGTGGGGGGCAGGTTGCTGCAGCAACTCATCTGTGCAGCTGCCCATTCATTCATGTGTGTCCTCTCCTCTTCCGTTCCACGCACTAGCTCACTATAAACATGCCTTTTTTTTAAAAAGCAATAAGATAGTTCAGCGAGATAGTAGATCACAGATGCAACAGGTGTCCCACATGACTGACTTGAGGGGCATGTGGGTGAGGCAGAGCAAATGATCTACGATAGAAGTGGGACACCCAGTGCATCACTTCCCTGCACTCCCTGCCATCATCACTGCTGTCATCTGCTACCAGCCAAGCCAATCTCATATGCTACTATACTATTAACATTCAAGATGTTATCACAAGTATGTGATTACGCTCAGTCCATCCATGCTGCAGCACCGTTTCAGCCCTGTAATTATCAGTGCTTGTCCATCTCTCTTGGATCTCTCCCTCTCTCTGTGGATGACTGTTCGCTATCTAACAGCCTATCAGTTTGCTCTGCTTGCACTTATCTCTGTTGTTGCTGAGTATTCATTTCAAACACCTTGTAGTCTGATCTTCCCTGGGTCCTATGTCACTTCCTGTGACTAGATTCTGTGTCAGAGAAGTGATGCATGTGAGGTCTCCGGGGATCAGGTCCCACTGCCGTGCCTTGTCCTCTCTCAATACTTTGTCAACCCTTATCCCTCCTGACTGCAACTCCCCCTTTTTTTTACAGCTGTAATGGAGACAGAAACTGGGAAGAAAAATCACTGGTAGAGCTGCTGACAATGCTTATCACCATCAACTTACTGCAGGCAACCACTTTCGGTGAGACGTGCAGAAAATCAAGTCTCTAAGAAAATATTTCCAGTAAGCCTGGAGAGAGTGAGCGAGGGTGTGTGCACATCTTCAGTGCCAAATCTAAATTTGTAAATAATATGATATTGTAACATGATGGAAAATGATGCAGAGTTGCGTTAGTGGTGCCAAATATTCAGGGAATGCCATTTGACCCAGTAGGAGTGTGCCTCTGCCTTTCTGTTTCACAGCCTGAGAGTATGTACAGAGTGATCAGCTGCAGTGCTGCTGCACCACCCAACAGGTTTATAAGCCTGAACTGAGCCGGGTCATGTCAGGTAAACATTATGTAGGTAAACTTGTTCTTGTTATCAGATCAACATTTTATTGTGTAGTTGATGCTGGGCTGACTTGTCTGTCTTACATGGGTTAAAAGAATAAATAAAAAAATGACCCAGGACCCTCAGTGAACGGTAGCAGCATGGTTCACCACTCAGACAGTTGGTGGGATTTCAGGCTGGACTTAGAGAGAGTTTTATGTGGTTGCCACATGGGGAATGTGACCACTAATCCACACCACTGAACTTAATAGCTCCTACTGAGTAGTAGGAGTGTCAGTAAATGGAGCACAGAGTGTGCCAGCCCTCACCTCTGCCACTGCGGCCTACAAAGCGAAGGTCGTTGAAACGTGCTACTTGGTTCTTCATCACACCTGAGGCGTTCCGCAGCTCGGCGGAGTAGTTCTCATCATTGCCCGCCATCACTGTGACAACAGTCCCATCAGGTATGTCTCCCAGGGCAACCACCTGTCGTGGGGGCAAAGGTCAAAGAGCAGAAATGTAGCAACTCATTTGATCAGTGTTTGGGGGAATATACATCTTTTACATTTTCAGGATGTGGCCAAAAACTGGCAAACTATAAACTTCATCTGTAGATCTATGCATGCTACAACCTATCCTCTTCCTCTGTGCATGGTTATAAAAAGCTAGAAAAATTATTATAGTAAAAGGTTTAATAAGGGATTTCTTTTAGCCTAAAAGTCAAAAGCTGAATGAAATCAAACCTGGATTTGATTCTTGTACTCTTAAAATAATTAATCTAGCTATTGTGACAGCCTCTTTTTACGTCACAGCATCCTCCAGCAAAAGACGCTGATAAATGGATTTAATTTTATTCTCCAAAAGCTGTTTGATATCATGATAAATGTGATTATATGAATTGCATCTATTATTCAGCCTTAAAGCCGCAAGCGCAGAGGCCTTGTGTTATCATTTAGAGTTTGGACGCAGATAAAAGAGTAGGAGTAGGCCTACAGAGCAGCAGTAATTACAGAGCTGTAGTAATAAGAACAGTTAAATAACACATATATTTTAAACAGTGTCACATTTCAATTGGAGCCAGAGCTGCAGCTACAAATTTCCACTTTGGTGTCTTTGTTCTGTCATTAAAATAATATCTGTCAAGTAATAAATAGGGCCTTTCCTGTGAAATATCATGGGAGCAAAAAGCTGTCCAGGCTTTAAAAACGCCTTCACATGCCCAACATGCATAAATGATTAGTCTTTGCCCAATGTTAGATTTTCTACTCATTAAATATTAAGTGCAATTTAACATGTGAAGACTAATTACACTAATTTATTATAATCATCTAAACCGGTAGAAAATGAAAAGAATGAATAAACCATGGCTACAATTAGCCACACTGTGGTTGTAATATATATCTTATATATGAATTGTTTCATAGAGAAAACTATAATTAATCACCATGAAAACAAAGCTTCAAATGATTCACTGGTTAGGTGGGATATATAAATTAGCTACAATTATATTTTCCTACATTAACTTATTATTGGAATTAAATAAAAATGTGGATCTGTAAGAACAAAACAAAACGATGTGATTTCTTTCCTTCTTTTGCCATTTGATCCATTCAACCAAACATTCTGGACCTTTAACCATCACGTACTTGCTTTATTTTAATTGTTTTTTTTTTATATTTGTTTGTGAAGTGACATTAAAAACCATGTCACTAAAAGGAGCGGACAGCGACATGTCCTTCAGAAACTGTCATGAACCCACATGATTAAAAAGTAAATTTGGACAGGAGGAAGGAGGATAACCACAACAAAACACTACAAAAATATTCGAATTATTTAACTTCTATAGAGGGTGGATCTTCAGAGAAAAATCACGCGTTCACTGTTATTTAAACCAGTATTTTTTGGATGAATTCAGTGGTTGGTTGTCTCCCAGCGAACACAGGGAAACGCTGGTTTACTCACCTTTTAACTTGACCACACACAAGTGAGTCGGGACTCTCACCTTAAAGGCGACAGGCAGCGTCTTGTTGCACCGCCAGTGGGAGGGCAGGACCGAGCAGAGGAAGTTGGGACTGTCGGTCCGAACCAGCTCCGCCGGGTGGTCGGCGATGATCTCGGCCATGCTGCGGTTTTCATGGGGGCGCAGTCTTGGCACCGCCGCCGCCGCGTCCGGCTGCCCGGCTGGAGAGCTCACATCGTTCATCTTCCCTGGGACCGGCTGGAGGCTATTGGACGGCGGACTGAACCTCCGAGTGGCGCTGGGATCTACGGGAATTCGCATCACAACAGCGTGGATTATCAGAAAAGGCACCAAACGCTCCCCAGCTCCTCTCTTGCCTTCTCTCTCTCACACAATCGGCGAGAAACTGTGTGTGCGCCGCTACTTGCTGAGCCTCAGCGCTTCTGCCAATGGAAAATAGGACTCAGTGAGCGCACTCAGCGATTCAAACCCCTCTCCACTACAAACTTTAGTGGGCGCCT